AGAACTACAAAAAATGAAATCATTTCTCATATTTTTTTCCAAATTTTACAAGAAAATGGCAATATCTGACTAGTTTGCATTGAATCTTTCCAATTTTACAAAAGAGAGAAAAATTTAGTCACAATCTATAAAAAAAAATAAAAAAAAATAGGATCATCAAACCTCAATTTCTTAAATCAAAACAGTAAACAAATTGGCGGTAAAAAAATAAGACTTTATTAAGAGTTTGACACAACCGGAAATAACAGCGTGATTTATATAAATACACTTGTTCTGAATATTGTGTAAAATGGTACCCTCGTCATAGTATTATCCGACCCTCGACCTCGACATAATACTCGATCCTAGACACTTGACCAAAAGACAAAGTCATGTAAGATCCGTGTAAATGTTGACTAGAAAATTGACTGGATATCGACCACACACGGTCATTTTTTTGACGAAGTCATATTCCTACTTCTCAGTGCTGTGTTCTATTTAACAAATTGACATTAGATTTTTATGTGTCTGTCCTCTTATTGACAATAAATTGCGTCATCACATTGTCAAAGTAGTGTGGAACCACGAGGCGTAGCCGAGTGGATCCGCATACTACTTTGACAATGTGATGGCGAAATTTATTGTCAATAAGAGGACAGACACATAAAAATCTGATGTCAATTTGTTTTTTACAATAACAAAAACGATAAAAACTTCTCATTTTTAGCGATCAAAACAACCAACGGAAAGAGCGCGCGCTCGTTAACGTCAGCTTTATCTGTCTGTCCTCTTATTGATGATAAAAAATAACCAATCAGCGCGCGAGAAATTTGTAAGTTATTGTAAAACAACATATTTATTCCAAAAAAGGTGGTTTATTTTGGGGGTTCATTGTGTTTATTGTTCTATTACTGCCATACAAAGTTTCATTTATAGAGGTAAACAGCAATATTCTTTAGAGAAGAAAAATCGTGGTTCATTATGATTGTTTAATGTTGACACTTTTGTTCATTGATGATGAAAAGGCAATGGAAAATAACGAAAGTTTGAATTCGGCGTTAAGTGAAAAACCTTTTGAATCGAGGGCATCGAAAACATAAGAAAAAATCTCGGAAAATTTCTAAAGACCTTTGCACTGGGCTAAGTGGTGTAGTGAGCGTTTGGTTATTGATTTTCGGGTGTTTAAGTTGAACCGTAGAGAAGTTATTAAACTTGGAATTAGGCGAGCGTGTCTGAAGTGGACTTCGCGTGAGGTGAAGTGTCGGATGTCATTTGCCGAACGAACCAAGTTCGGAGTCTTTTTTCGAGCATTTTCGGGTTGTTTATAGCCTGCAAATATCTTGCACTGGGGTCTTTTTTCGCTGTAGCGTGTAGTGAAGAAAAAATGAGTGTAAATGGAACATCCGGCGAAGAGTTATTAAAGTTTGAATTCGGCGTTAAGTGAAAAACCTTTTGAATTGAAGGCATCGAAAACATAAGAAAAAATCTCGGAAATTTTTTTTGCAAAAACCTTTGCACTGGGCTTAGCTGTGTGGTGATAGTCCGTTGCATGATTTTCTAGGAATTCGGTTGAATCGTACAGAAGTTATTAAAATTTAAATAGTTGTTATTCGAGTGAGATGCTAAAATTTTTCTAAGTGTCGCGGGCTGCTATTATGCGGAGCCAAAACCTTTAAAAATTATGCTATTAGATTTTTTTAAAAAAGAAAGCATGTTGGATTCCTCACCGAAATGGAATATTTTAAAATCAATACTTAAATCAGGAGAATTTTGGTAGCACTTATTAATATCTAACTTGACCTCTGCGAATGTCCGGCTGAATTTCCGGCTAACTTCAGCGTCATTGATTTTTCGTGTTGGCAAAAAAATGGCTAGAAATGTATATTTAAGAGTGACTGTCTGTAAAAATCAAACAAGTCGCGGCAAATCTTGAAAAATCGATTTCGCTTATACTTTCAAGTTAGATAGGGTATTGTATCCTAAGAATCACTGTATAGTTGGTTTGTTCAAATAACGTTTTATTTCGGAGAAAAATGCAAATTTTCAAAGTCCGCCGAAAATGCCATTTGTAACTTTGAATTTTGACCCAACTTTTGTGTTCTCGCGTGGAATACTGAGCGGTTCCAAGACCAAAACAACTCCTAATCCCTGCTAAACAATCCATTGTTTATTGTTTGAGTGATTTTGAGATAGATTGGCCGATTCTAACCCTGCGAAATATTTTTATTCTCTACACCTATTGTTTGAGTTGTTAAAAGTTTGTCTTACAAAAAGTCATATAGCAAATGTGCTAAACCTTTAAATCGCTCGGAACTTCAGTAGTTGCATGTCCAAATAATGATCTTTCAAATGATAAAAAGATTTCTTTTGGCAAAATACTTGTGAGTGACGATTGGCATCGCCAAAGTATGGGGAAATCGTACTTCTTTGACCTCTGGAGGTCATTAAAAACAACACGAGATCTCGCAGTTTGTTTTGATTGCAATTCAATAAAACAGCTCTAAAAAGCAACAAAATGATAAAAGAATACTTATTTCAGGATAATTCTTACCTTTTTTTCGGAAAGTGGCATTTTTAGGATCTCCCGGCTAAGTTTTTACTTCTAATTGCCGTTATTTATAATCTGGCCTCGACTCGTGTCACAGGCCTGTCAACAGTTTTGCCAAAGGAAGCCCATCGATGATTCCAGACGGAGCAGTTTTTTTGAGCTCATTTAAGTAAACCTTCCTTATTTGAGTCTTGAAATGTGTAAAAAAAGTTTTTTTAGAAGCGAAGCGATGAAAAAATTGGAAGGTTTTAGTATTTTTTGGATTTAAAGTCAAGATTGTTTAAAAACAAACAAGATATTCCTCAGCGGAAATAATAACATGATGCTAATTCTTTACAAATGGAAGCTTGTTGCTCTTTCAAATCGATAGTTGGAGGACTCTGTGGTTCTGATAGTCGTGACAGAAAGCACGAATTGCAGGTTGTGCCCTTACTCTCATGCTCGAGGGAACATTCATTTAGAATTTAAAAGATCAGTTATTTGATGTTTCATCCTATATCATATCACGATTACCGAGTAAGCTCTACCCTTAAGGCGGCTCGATCGAAATTGTGGTACTTCTTAAAAGGGTGGTCATCAAGCTGTTTTACTGAATATACAGACATAAAATATAGACTAAAAAAAAGAAATAGCTAAACTTTACATGTGCATGATTTTACCAAATCTGTCAGCATGTATATGTATGGCTTCTTCCTTTTTTGTGTTATAGTCGAAACGTCAAGTTCATTATACGTACAGATGTCTTGCAACATAGATACGGAGAATTTTCATAACTTGGAAGCTGCTACCATTTTACAGATTGGTGTTGTAGGATTCATATGCAATTGGGTGTTTTATTGCAATCTCATCCATAACCTCTTGACGCATCTGATCAAACTCTTTCTCTGCCATGGCTGAAACCAAGTCACCATAATCATCGTCATCAGTGAGGCTTGAACCTGGTATCAATTTTTTGGCAGATAAGCAGGAAAAGAAGCTTGTAATCTGCTGGGATGTCAGATATTCATCAGCTTGAAAAAGTTAAGATCCATCTGCATCACGTGCCTTCCTCATTGATTTTGAAACCTCATTTGGGTCTGCTTTTCTTCCCGTCTGTTCACCAAGAAGAAAATGGTCAATCAGGTATTTCTTTTGATTCTCCTTTAGTCGATGTCCACTTGAAGATGCACGTTTTAACGCCCATCCCTGTTTTGCGAAGGCTAAATCCTTACTTGATTCAACACTCTCCACGACTTGCTCTTCAATGGTCGACGCCCCACCCTCATATTTTCAGCATAGAGTAACATAGCCTTGTCAAGCAAAGATTCATTCTCTAGGGCGTACTTGTGTCTACCACAATCTAGATGTCTCTGAAGGGATGAAAATATCTGGAAGGCTTTTACACATCCGTCTTCGGAGCAAGTAAACAGGGTATCGTCGTCTGTGTCACTGTCTTCAGGGGTCGATTTTGTTTCTTTGATTTTGGCAGTATGCCTCTGTCTTGCTGTGACGTAACAGAACGCGAGATTGGGGCTGTAGACATCTTGTACTTTAGTGAAAGATGGTAGTGCCGTGGACGTCTTTAGCTTGAAGTTGCTATATGGAACAGCTTTCCCATCTTCCACGCCATATGTTCTCGAAACCGTCATTTCCTTCTTCTTGTATTCTATGTCGTTAGTCATACTCACGCCTTTCCATCTTGGAAAAGGATCGATGTCTAGTGTCTTTAAGGGCCCACAGAGTACCATGGCGACACCACGCACACCACCATTTGATTCTATTGCAGGTTTTATCTCCTCTGTATTTGTAATGTCATTGCCAGACTTGAGGTATGCTCGCATGTGATTCTTCAAAGTTGCGACTTTCCTATCACAGGCCTTCTCGTCGTAATTTACAAACATTTTGCATACAATTTACACGACCCTCTAGTGTAATTTACAAACTTTTTACATATTATTTACATATTATCAGAGGCCTCCTAGTCGTAATGCAATGCAAAATACAAAAAAATTATTTTCTTTGTCAGTAAATTGGAATTTGTAAATAAGTTTTTAAGGTCTTTATACAATAACATATTTCTCAACAACTACAAATTAAGCTCATTTTTATAATCATACTACCTCGAAAAGCTCAATCAACAGTTGAATATGTAGATGATGACTAGTAAACACTAGCGTGGACTGCGTCGGTGTTTCTAATGAAACAGTTATCGTAGATTGATAAGTTTTACACCGTAGTGAAAATAGGAACTGACGTTTCGGACGTTAGTCCTTCGTCGGAGTCAATAGAAAGTAAGAGCGAGAGAGATGTTTATATAGTAGAGGAGAGAGAAAACAAACCGTGATAAGAAAAAAGCATGAAGTGAATGATTAAACTTTATTTTGACGGCATTTAATTCTTAGGAAGTCTTCAGAAGATGTATTTTTGATAAGCTGAAATCACTCGATAATTCAAAATTGTATTAACGGGCGAACGCCATTGGAGGCCACAGGGAGCCCACACATCCGAAACCACAGATACTTCGGATGTTAAGCCTGTGATAATAGCAAACATATATCAATACCTTATAATTTTTTTCTTGTTTGACAAAGTATGCTCCATAAAGGGTCCAATAGATATCAAAGGTTCTACTGGAGAAGATGCCTTGTTTATGTGGAACACAACGGACCAAAAAGAAATCCTTGCTGTCAGCTGGGGAATAAGAAAGGGCAACATCCCTGATCCTCAGTTTATCAGTGTTAATGGATATAATGGAAGGGTGTACATAAACGAAAATATTGGTGACACGTTGAAAAGAAGAGTAGAATTTCTTGGAAACTTGACAATAGGTCGTGCTTGGTTTGTGTTGAARAACCTTACTGTCAATGACACTAATGAATACATTGCAAGCATCAGTGACGATGTATCAAGAGTTCTACCATATTATGCGCACCTAATGGTTGCAGAGAAAGGAAAAGGTAAGCCAAACACTCTTTTGGGAGTAGCATAACTTATTTATTTCACATAAACTTTTGATTCCTAACTTCTAATTCCCTAATCCACATAGACCGTATTTTCCTTTAGGAAAATAATACAATATACATATTTATGAAAATTTGTTGTGAAGTCTTATCGCCGGGGTGAGTGTTGTGTTGAGAAAGATATTGTTGGTGGTGACTGACCTTCGTACAACCTGAGCTGGACTTAGTCATTTCAAAGACTTACCGTGGTTCAAGTCTTCCTTAAGACTACATTCACCTGGATGATCACTAACTTCTCAGCAAACATCAACGCCTGGGTTCAATGTTATGAAGCAAAATATATTCTTTGTAGTATTTCGACAACAATGCGATATGTTGGTTATATTGTTAGACATATTCATAACTTTAATCTTAAAGAATAATTGATAGATAGTTTATTATACTACACATGGTTATGGGCAATCAATATCAGATGGTTTTTTGAATGTCAATAATTATTTACCATATTCTTAGTCACAAAGTAATCCAACACTGTCTTTTTAAATTAAAACCTAGCCCCAAGTAGTGACCTTATCTAACCACGAAATGTTAATAGGAAATCAGGTTAGCTATTTATAGACGAACCTAGACAGCTTCTAACACACACTGAATCGACTCATTATTGAGGAATTAATTCATACAAATCGAGCAGATCTCGCAAATCTTTAATGATTAAAGACAATCGTAAAGCGATCCTGAATATAACATAAGCTTTAAGCACTTGGTATGTTCGTTATTCATCATTCTTCCATATTTCCTTAATTTCATTTCATTTCATTTCATTTCATTTCATTTCATTTCATTTCATTTCATTTCATTTTATTGTTATATT